ATTGGTACACAGGCACCCCGAACAATATCTCCACAAGAGCCGTCTTACTCGGTATTTACAGTACTTTCGTGATGGCGGACCATCTTATAGGATGATGGTTGATGATGGTGATGATGATGATGCATGATGAAGGATCATGATGGATAATGATGATCGATGATGGTGGTGGATTGAGGCGCCAGGTAGTTGGTAGGGGGCGGGGGTGGCTAGTAGTAGTAGTAGTAGTAGTAGTAGTAGTTACAAGCAGCAGCCGTGACTTGTAGTAGTAGTGTTGCAGCAGCAGCAGTCGTGGCAGGAACCAATGACAGTTGCAGCAGCAGTAGTGGGAGTAGCAGTCGAAGCTGGAGTCGTGGAAGGAGTGGTGGTAGAGCGTGAGCATGTGATGATCCGCATGGTGAGACAAAACGACCCGTTTTGGTCATTTTGGTGTGGCCCAACAAGATCAAAACGACCGGTCGTTTTGCCCCCCCCCCAAACAAAAAAAAAACTACCAACATGGCAGCAGTAGGGACCAGCAGAAGCTGTCAGTGTTGTAGTCTGCCGCCGTCGCCGTCGTCGTCGTCCTCGTACTTGCTGTTGCAGCTGCTGTCGTGTTTGCTGTTCTCATCGTCGTAGCTGCAAGAGCAACAGCAGAGGCGGCAGCTGATGTAGAAGCACTGGCAGCAGCACCATTTTTCCCTCCCACCTGGCAAGGATTAGTTCCGGCGGTTATGGTGGAAAGGGTAGCCTTGTCGCAACATCAAGGACCCGCATTGCGTCGAATGCACTGCAAGTCGTCCAAGGCTGCGGCCATGTTCCACATGTCCTCATCACCATCTTCGTTGGTCTCCCCTGAAACATCTAGTTCGGCCTTGGGTAGAAGGAGCTCCGTGCACTTCGAGCTGCTCGATCAAGACATATCACTAAAGAATCTGCTGTGCTTGGGTTTCATGATTCGTGGCAGAGGAGTGCATCATTCGGAGGACAGCAAACGAGCGAAACTGATGTCTGTAGTTTTTGCTTTTGCGTAGCGACCCATCTCTGAAGGCATACTCTAAGCTTTAACTCGAGGACCCTCTCAGAAGGGGTTTGGGAATCCTCTGTCCAACAGGAACATGCACTTGCAAAAGCGGGGACAACGTACTGCAGCAGCCGTTGTATCGAGAATCGACTAGAGCCAACACGCCACTACTGAAGTAGCCTGCCCGTGATGCAAGACACAAAACGAATCTGGTCCCAGAACCTGGACCACCGATGAGGATTCTTACCATGCAAGCATGATGCGCAACAAGCCCCTCCGGCAAGATTAGTGCCGCACCTCCGGCTCATCGGAGGCATCGAGGTGCATTGCCTTTTCGGAGCTGCCATCGCCCGCCACCTGTGAGCTCTCAGAAAGCATGCGTTGTTCGACAAGGGCCAACGAGGGGCAGTGTCGGCCTTCCCAAGTAGGCAAACAACGTGTGCTTGGACCTGTGAAGAGGCTGGCGGTTGTTGCGACACATCTTCCTTCGAATTTGCATGCTAGCAGCGGTGGTAGTGATGTAGCATTTTCTCCTCGCACGGCCTCGATGTCGACATGATGCAGAATTGCAGAGTCTGATGCGGCGAATCTTCGCTGCTCAGCATCTGCTCAGTCCTCATCCTCTACACGATCCAGGACGGGAATCCACTTGGAAGGTGCCCTGACTGGAATCTCGTTGCCGGTTGACTTGTTGTACCGAACTTTCTTCACGATTTCGGACCCATCTTTCAAGGTCTTCTTGCGGAAGCGAACGCCCAGGAGACCTGCAACCTCTTCCTCCTCATCGTAGTGCATGACCCAGGAGGAGTGCATTGGAGCCTCGACCTGCACGCGCTGCCCGACTTCGTCCTCGCGCTGAGGCCGCACATGCTTGATGCAGTAGTTGACGCCCAGGCACAGGATCTTGTTCCATTTCGGATAGATGCGGAGCACTTCCGTGACCTTCCCTTGATCCTTGCCCTTCATGACTTGCACGGTGTCTCCAGGCATCACGTGCATCTTGTAGCGAACGGGCTTGTTGGTCTTCGGATTGACTCGTACCGCAAGTTGGCGCCCCTTGTAAATCGGTCGCATCCGCCCCGCTCGGATTCTTCGCTTGTTCTTCGGTGAACCTGCTGGGGTTGTCGGCTTTGCCGACCGAGCATGCATGATCACGGCAGAGCTTTGCTCTTGCGACGGCCGTGACCTTCGGGGAGCCCCAAACGTCAGGGCCACACCTGTCATTGCCAGAGCGATGCTGGCGACTGTCGGTCCCTTGACAGCTTGCGGCCCAGCAGAGGCGTGTGCAGGCCTGGGTGAGGTCTGCAGCGACGCTCTGGTAATGGGGGCTTCCGCATGGCCGGATGACACAAAGCCGGGCCGGGTATGACCAAGCAGGGACAGCACGCCGCAGAGGGCCACGAAGCCTGCTGCAGCTGTGCCTGAGGCACCGCGTCTCAAACGCAGCCCTCGTGACATCGACATGGCCGGAAAGCCCTACCCTCTTCGCTCAGAGCTGGGGGGCCAAAAGGCAAGCACGCGCAACTTTCGCATGACATCAATTGTCCGAAAAGCACCTTGGCAAACACACGACGACGAAGGCAAGCGTAGGAGCTGGGCCATTGCCAGCTGGCCACGTGAGCGAAGGATCTGCTGCCTCTCGGAGGCCAAAGCCTCGCAACCAGTTCGTAGTCAGTTTGAGTGGGAGGCATCGCTGTTTTTGTGGCTGCAGTGACACCTCTTCGGAACTCGAGATTTGCAGAGCGCGGTCTTGGAGCTCCTACAAGGAGCCAAATCCCTCGACAAATGTCCGACCATCAGGGACGTCACTCGACTCGGCATCGTGCCCAGCATATGCTAACAGTTACAACAGCTTTGACAGGCTGTTCTGATTCTGTCCTGGTCCAAGAGCTGAAACCTGGCACTTTGACCCAGCCACTAAGGCGAGTACTTGGCTAAATTTGACAAAGCAGGCTATGCTGCACACAACACATGCAGAGGCTCATGTATCGGCCTGCGCCTTTCGCAGCTCCTGTGCTCAACTCAACATGTGCAAACCAGCTGTACGTCGCAGCGCAGCTCCTCCCTCCTGCTTATCCCTGTAGCTGTAGCTGTCAATGTCTTGTTGCCACTCACTTGTCATCCAGCCTCCTCTTCCCTGCGCTGGTGCTCCAGCTCCTCGCAGCAATGGAGCGACGGCCCGCATCTGTTGGCTTACGGCCTGCTAACAGTAGCAGCATCGAAACCACGAGTAGCTGTGCGAAAAGTACATCTGCCAAAAGCACGTCAAAGCTGGCCCCAGTACAGCTCCTCTCGGTGCCTGAGCTCACGGGGCCAATGAGAGTCTGAATGATTATAGAGTTCAACCGTGATGGAGTCAACATAGCAAGCTGCCCTGCTCCTGAGGTTATGATCAGAACTTGCGCAGTCCGTTCGTCTCGTCTCTTGCGCCGGTTGGACCTTTGCAGCCTAGGTGCTTTTTCAGCTCTGCTTCGTGCTGCTGTAGAGCCTGAAGCTGCGCATCTCGTTCGGCCTGGCTGCGCATACAAATCAAGACTCGAGCAACGCGTTTCCCCACTGTCCAGCATGCACAAAGCCACGCTAGCCGCTAGCCTCGCCACGCTGCCGACAACTCTCGACCTCCTTCCGCTGTGCTTCGAGGTGTGCCTGGTACAGCCACCAAGCACGACTGCGGTGCCTAGGGCCTACAGCACCTCGACCCGAAGGGGTTCAACAGAAGCACCCGACTCCTACTCCTACTCCTCCTCCTACTACTGCTACTACCACTACCACTACCACTACCACTACGACGACTACGACTAACTAACTAACTAACCAACTACCTAGCTAGCTAGCTACTAACTAACTAACTGACTAACTCACACTACGACGACCACGACGACTGCTACTACCTGGTCCTGCAAAAGATAGATTGACATGAATTGAACATGGCTTGGTACAAAAGCTCCAAAACTCCAAGCGCAATCATGGCATGTAAAATGCGAATGGTAGCAGCCTGCAGCCTTTCAATTTGCGATTTGTCGAACATGTTTAGACCAACCAGCTGGGCGTGGATAAAGCTAGGGTGGGCATGCTGCCGCGATGAAGTGCCATCTTCAACATGTTGTGTAAGCTGGCAGCAAGGATGCAATGCAAAAGGGGCACTGTAAAACGGGCAAGGCAGGTAGCGATGTTGCAGTCCTTGCCGTTACTGATTATGGAAATGTACCAAAATCGCGATATGTCAAAACACATGTGCCTGTACATTTTTCCCATTGGGTGATCAACAAAGAAGTTAGGTGATGCAGTGCTAGATACTTTTGCCTCCCGCCTGGCTAGGACGAACCTACGATGCAGGGTCATTAGACAGCAAACTGTAGGGGATGCTCGATGCTTGGCAACAGCATGGAAGCAGAGCTAGATATAGATATATATATATAGCTTCAAACAAACATATACAGATGCCACTATGTATGGAGATATCTACGTATGCAATGTCACACTGGGCTTACTTGGCTGATCTGCTTTTGTTTGTTTTTCCCCCAAAAACCCCTGGGGGGTTGGGTTCTTGTTGTTTAGTTTTTCCTTCCCGCTGGGGATCGTTCACCAAAAAACGTTGCCGTGGACCGGAAAAGCCTTTTTGCGAAATAGGCGCATCCACCGCATCGTGTGGACAGGCCGTGGACGGGGATGGGCGGGGAGCTCTGGGTGCCGAGCGTTCGCGGGAGGACGTGGCCGTGGACGGGTGGGGAGCGTTCGCGGGAGGACACTGGACGGGTAGGGAGCTCTGGGTGCCGAGCGTTCGCGGCGAAAAAATGTCAGAAAGCACTGCTCTAGATCAAAGCTCTCCCTTATGCCTAAAGAACGGTTTGGTTTTTGGGTTCCCGGCTTGACCTTGTTTGGGGGGGGGCTGTTCTCCGTACTGCGCGTCGGAATCGACGGAGGTTCTCGTTTTGCATCTTTCGGATAATGGCCTACCTCAAGTGTGAGTATAGAGGATAGCAAGCGGAGGCCCTAGGCTTGATTTGAAGAGTGTTGCTTGATACGATGGGGGCTTGATGTGGAGGGGATTCGGAGGCTTTTCTAAGGTATCCTAAAGGCCTGAGGCCGGATTTAAAGCTTTTGTAAGCATTCGCAGGCTCTGTTTAACAATGTTCACGCCCACGAAACCGTACGAAACCCTCAAAGCCCTGCCACTGTAATTTTACTACTGTGCTACTGTGCCACTGCACTTCTACCGGACCAAGGTACTACTAATGTACTGTGGGGCTTGTGGAGCACACAGAGATCAGACTGGACTATTGCGGGTGCCTACCAAACGTGTGAGAACTGCTGTGAGGAAAGAACCAGGCTATCCGGGCTGACCTGCTGATCGGCGAGTTCCGCCTCCTCAGCGAACATTCATGACACAATATATGGAAAGTTAGCGAACATGCTTTGACAAAGCCGTTGCTGATGCTGGGTTATCCATGTTTGCAGCTCTCTATTGAGCTGTTGTGTTTGCTATTAAACTGGGAATCTGGCACGGGTGCGCCGGTCGCTCGCCGCTTTCTCTTCAGCGTCGTGCTGTTCCTGGCCTGGGCATACGCACGTGCAGTTCTCTCCACAGCCCGGTATCTCACTGCTGCGTGTTGACACGCGAGTACTGAGCTTCCTGTCTCCTGGTCGTCGTGGGCAGTCTCGCGATATTCCATCATGTCTTAGACCCAGGCGTTGTCGCTGTAAGGCCTCACCTTGATTCGGCTTCCGAAGCAAGACACATGCAGAGACGCACGCCGCAGAGCTGTGCTGAGCAGCCTGCGCTCAGCCTGCAAGGCCTCATTGCTGGCAGTGGCAGAGCACGAATCTTCTTTCGTGGACCCGGCTTCCAAGATGTGTCAGACCAGCTGCCTGCTGTGCAATCTTCAGCTCTTCCTCTCGCTGTTTCTCCTGCCGTTAATAGCAGAGCCGCAGGGCCATGGCAATAGGCCTTCGGCTAGCGGCTAGCTGTATCAACCTGCTGCCAGGCCGTTTACTTTAAGCCATGCAAAACTCCAAGACCCGGAAAGCACATTGGGCAGAAGATCCGCCTCTTCCAAACGCTGTCCTTGACAAGAATCTAACGGTATCTAACGCTCACAGACGGTCTTGCTGTATGTCTGCCTGCAAGTCAGTCCCAGCACTCGTGTTGGGGAGCCGGCTAGCCGCTTCTTCCTGCTCAGCCTGCTCTAGTCTGTCCGCCTTCTCTGGCTCCGCTGAAGCTAAGCTGGCCTCCAGCTGCTGGAGCTCTGCCTTGCGCCGATCGAGGTCCTCCTGTCTCTTCCTCGACTCCTCACGGCACACAGGCTTGCCGCTACTGTACAGTGGCGGTCCAGTCAAGTTCGGACGTCGGGGTTGGTTATTCCTCCCTCCGGCGTGTGTCAGATTAAGATCTGCCCAGACAACCTCACTTGCGCGCACGATGATCTTCCAAATTCGTTCGCAACAGCTCCGCCAGGAAATTTATGACATCAGAACGGCTTCACATCTAGCTCTCCAGTGGTGTCAGGCTCCGATGCACCCTCACGCGCCCAATGCCTCACTGATGTCGCCTTCGGCTATATGGGAAAGATGGAAAGCTTGCACCTCAAATTTCGACCATATGATGCCGACGAGCTGAAATCGAAAAGAAGAGAACTATGACTCCAACTCTATGCAAATAACTACCACGAGAAGTTTTAATTCGGCCCTTAAACTGTCTTGGGATTCTTGCCAATTCAAACTGAATCACGGCGGTGGCAGCATCAGAGTATTGGGCGGTACCAAAAAGCACCGGGACCTGTTCCTTACCTCCCTGTTCCGGCGTCCTCCTCGTGTCGAGATGCCTGCAGCAATGTCTGCTCTTCCTCCAGTGGGCAAGTTTTCAAACAAAAAACTTGAGCTGGGCTTATGCTCTAGGCTCAGAGGCGCATTGATATGCAGTGCGCTCGTACACATGCACTGATGGAATTTGCGGCTCGCTCTGGCAGCATGTCCGAATGCTTTCAAGAATTTCCTTCCAGCTTCAGAGGCGTACCTGCTCCTGGCGTTCCTTGGCGAAGCGCTCCGCTTGCTGCTCGAGGCCCTTCCTGGAAGCCAGACATTTGCAAGCCAGGTGCTCAACGACTTCTGCGTCGCAACCGAGGCCCACGCAGCTCCGCGCGCTTCCTCTGCAGCTCGGCCTGTCCACTCTGCCCTCCGCTCGGCGAGGCAAGCTCGCTCCGAGGTTTCCACGTTGAAGCTTCCGTGGCACGGATTCGCGCGGATGCCCTCGAAATCTGTACAGGGCTTCGCCGTGGCGACAGACTTGAAGCCGCTTCAAGGCCTTCCCTGCGCACACTGGGTGCACAAACAAACGGGCGCTTGAACAGGGCCCCACTGCATCTCAAATAACCACGAGATGGCGCAGCAGCGTAGGAAGGAAAAGCAGCTGCCACACCCGTGGAGTTGCACAGACGTCAACTAGTCAGCCGGCCACGTCCATCTCCGATGGTGTGCTGGGTGACTCCATGCTGGAAGGCGTTTCAGTTGTTGCCTCTTGGAGGCCTTCAGACACTGGAGCAGGAGCCTCATCATCCTGCATTGCTTTGCTGGTGTCAAGCATGCAACACAGAGTTGCGGATGCGGTTCTATCATTTGGACAGTCGGTAGGTAAGGTGTGGCAGCTCTGACACTTCCAACAACTAATTAGACACACAGCCAATGTACTGTCGCACATGTCGCACACGTTTGTTCACAAACCAAGTCAGTACGGTCGCATCCAACACTGTGCCTCCGCGGGGAGCTTGGACAACTCAAACCGCACATCCTTGGGCTTCACCTCGTTCCGCTGGACCGCTTCGCTGCTTGTACACTTATCGCTTCCATGCCAAGTCTGCCGAGCGCAGCACCCAGCTATAGGAGTTGTCAAAGGTGAGCACCAGCCTTCCATCCCTTGGCGCCGAGAAGCTGGAGCTCTCCTGACAGGCAGAACCCCAAGCGGCTTGCTCGCAAAAAAACCCAGCACTGGCCCTGGCCTCCTGCAGTCGTCTGGCTGTGAACACTTCTTCCACTGCCTCCTGCACAAATGCGCCCGTACTCTTGCTATTCGCGAACCTTTGCAATGGCGCAGGCAGGAATGTGGTGTGAGCCTTTCAGAAGCCAGCCTGATACTAAACACGGAGGGCATCAAACACAGGTAGATTCAACAGCGACCAATCTAAGTCCAAGCGATGTTTGAAGTGTGCATTCTGGCGCCCGCCATGCTTCCAGAACGTGTCAGCGGTAAATCCGACACACCGAAACGCGACATGCAGGCTCTCACCGGTAATCGAGCATGCTAGATTTGACGGCAGACCTGCCAGCCGGATCGGGGCTAAGTAGGATCCGACTTTCCGCCCCACTGAACTCCGACATTTCGCATCATGTGTATATGGGGTCGAGTGGATCTTTCAAATTCAGATCTGGCCAGAGCACTCGATGGTGGTTTCACGGCTTGTGCTCAAGCATTGCTCGTGCTTACCGCAGAAGATGCTCATATAGACTTCTGCATGGAAGGTAGCGCAGCAGGTCGCCGTTCTTCTCGCGATTTCCATGCAGCTGTCTTCGGAGATGTCTCTACCGATCCAAGGATGGTAAAACAACTGAATGTAGGCCGTGCGCGCGCGCATGAGCCCGCATCTGTTCGAGGTACCCGTCTGAAGCTGGAGATCTTGTCTTGCAGACGCCACTCTGATGCCGCGCCGCCGTGCTGTCTTCTGCTCACAAGATATACCCGCCGTAGGACATCGTGAAAAGCCAGCCTCCTCCGACTCGAAGTGGCAGGAAAACAGAATGTCCAGGCCTCGGCGGCTCAAGCCCATCCCAAAAAGTCACAACAGGTCGGCCAACGGGGTGCGGGCCGTTGGCCACGGAAAGGCCGAAGGCCGCAATGTCGCCCTGCTGCAGATCAAGACTGCGCCTTAGGGCGATTCTGATGCTTGGAGCTTCTGCAGTAACTGTCGGAACTCCGAGCTTCTCGGCTCTTCCGTCTGTCCGGCTTTGATGAAGAGTTCAGAACCTGCAGGTCATCATTTGTCCAGCGTGGCTCATGGACCCCAGCGCTAGTGGAAGTCGACCCAAGCGTCTGCACTCACACCGACAGATGTCGCAAGGCTGGCGCTCAATGTGAACCGAGCCTGATCCGTTGGCTACTAGTGCGGCTCGTGCGGGCACGAATTCAGCATCAGCAGCACTTCCTGCAGCCAGCACGTGCCAGCACTGTCCAAGCTGCTTGATGCGGAGAAAGGCCAGGTCTGAGCCTCCCAGGAACTCTGGCAGATTCGACTCCTGGGCATGCGGGCGCCATGGGCTCACCATTACAAGGGCAACTTTCTATCAAGACAGGAAACGAGCCATGTATAATCGTGCGAGCCTCCAATTCTGAAGTGAATGGTGCGATGAAAAAAGACAAAGCGCAGCAATGCAAGTGTTAGTGATCATGTCAACCGCAGCTGTAGCTGGTATGATCTCAATCTAGCAACACCGCCTAGGTCAACGACGAGAAAGTGGCAGCAAATCTGAGGAAGCACCAAGCCTTTAAGGGCTATTACCACAGACTCGTCTCCCAAGTTCCTCTAGACCGGGGTGCGCACGTCGACCAGCTGCTGCAGGCGCTCCTGCCGGCTGCACGCTCGTCAGGTGCAATAAAGGTAGGCATAGAAAACACCGAAATTTCTAGGTCTGCCTCTACTAGCTGCAGGCTGGGAGCGGGAGTTTGCGCCATCGGCACGACCTGGAGCTTCTTAACCTCAGAAGGACGGCTTCTTCATGAGAGAAAAGGAAAAAAAGAGCGTGCAGTACCAGAAGCACATGCAATGCACGCAGCAAGGGTTTTCACAACATGCATGGCCCTCGTTCGGCACGTCATGAAAAGGAACAGCAGGACCGCGCGCAAGATCAAGAGCATGCTGCCCATATCTTGACAGTGCATTTCCACGGTGTACCTGTTCTCGTCCCGGACCTTTTGCAAGTTTCACTGCTCGCCCACGTCAAGTGGGGCTAGAGGGACATGGCATAGAGTCGTAGAGCTGGCCAGTGCTGGCCCAATGCCACAGGAGGCCGAACCGACTTTGGCAACCTCCCGTCCCACGCGCCAGCCGAGATCGAAGAAAGAATCCGGACTCCTGACCGCTTCAGCGTCACAGCGCAGATGCGAGCGCTGCATTCGGCTACAAATTGACTCAGTAAAGTAGACGCCTCTCTCCTGGGCTGAGCCGACTCTACTCGTTTGCTGCACGGCCCTTGTCACCAGAAACAATTTGGTGCGCAAGCGGTGTAATTTAATGGCATTCGCGCTCGGTCCTCGAGTGTTGTGACATGTTGTGACACTGCACCTTGCCTGCACGAAGCTGAGACCTGGACCACCCTCTGCGGTAGCAAAGGCGTCAAGATCCGCAGGATAGCATGCATGGCCCATGGGGCATTCACCAGCAGAACAGACTCCATCACACCTCAGAACACATCTGACCTCTCAAGGCCCTGTCCCTCGCTGCGTTCCAAAGATACGACCCGCCTGGATAGTGCTCATCCATCATGCTGGTAAGACGTCTCATGATCTTGGACTTGCTGCCATGCTTTCGCCAAGCCTTGACACGGGACAGATTGCCCGCAAGGCTACTCAAGGAGAGATGTAGTTCGTTGCCTTTGTGCGCCGACAATTTATATGCAACTTGCACATGCAGAACATTGCGCACCATACGGTGGCTAATGGAATACTCATGTCTACAGGTGATCAATGGGGGGCCCTTGCAAACGAGCGGTCTCGAAGGGCAGGCAAGCGCAACGGGGACGACTTCAATAAGCACATCCCATGCTGACAAGGAGCATTCAATAGTCCATTTGGTGCAAACATGTCCTCGCAGAAAAGCAGAGTGCAAAACGCGGCCTCACGATGGAATTATCACTTGTAGCGGGCCCTTCGGCTTCCGCCTGGACAATCAGAAGGCCAGTTAGTTGCCCCGTGGCTCGAGCGAAGTCTTCGAGCTGCAGCAGCCGCCACTCACATCTGAGAGCAGAGTGTGCAGCGCAGTCAGACCTGTTCAATTAGGACTGCAAGCCGTCTCTTGACGAGTGGCAAATGCGTCTGGAATTGCAACATCTCGTCCTCAAGGGGTCATTGTTCTTAGTCTCGGCCTAGTAGAACAAGAAGAACCGTGTCACATGGCATCCGTCCTCCGTGATAACTGAGAACAGGCCATTTGCATCGGCAATTCCTGCGGCACGTGTCGTCAGCCAAGGTACTGCGCAGTATTATAAACACATGTACATGTTCATGAGCGTTAATGTACATGTACGTAACCCCCGCCCCCAAAGATCCAGCCTTTTGGGTGGATATTTAGATTTAGATGTGGAGGGTATCAGTTTGTTGTACAGGCAGTCGACCGATTGAAAGCGATGAAGCGATTGAATTTCAATCGGGCCCAGGATTCAAGATTCAGATTTTCAATCTTGAATCCAGGGCTCGATTGAAATCGGTTTCAATCGGGATTCCAGATTCTGAGAAAACTTTTCCAGAAATCTTGAATCCAGGGCTCGATTGAAATTCAATCGGTTTCAATCGGGCTCACGGCTTCTCTGAGCTCTAATAAAGTCTCAAACGTAACTTCGACACCCCCACCTCCAGAGTTATCCACCAGTTTTGGTGTAAGTCCTGTCTATTATGCCCCTGACCCTCTCCTCCTTAATGTAAAGAACACTCTGTACCGTAACCCGATATATGTATGTATGTATGTATGTATGTGTGTATGTATGTATATATATATATGTGTACATGCACTTCTGTGTCTGAGCCTTACTTTAAAGAACACTGTACAGTGAACCCTATTGAGTTCAATAGGCCCTATTGAGTTCGGGGACATGATTTAAAGTATTCTATAGCACATTCCGTTGGGTATTCTACAGGGTATTCCATATATAGTATTGCGTAAGGTACTCTTCGAGGTGTATATATAGGAAGGCGGTGTACATATAGGTCTACAGGGTATTCCGTAAGGTATCACTGTATTCTAAATGAATAAGGTTTTGTAGACAGGGTATTCTGTAAGGTATTCTATAAAAAAGTCCTCCTAAATTACAGGTTTCTTTCTAAGAAATCCCTTGTTCAATAAGCTAACGTTTAATTGGTGAACTTTCAGATCCTGGGCTCCTCCTGGTTGTCCTTTTTTAAATCGTTTTCAAAAGGGTATGCTATAGCACAGGGCATCCTAGAATAAGGTATTTTGAAGGGCATCCTGCAAATAACGTGTATATCCACGAAAAAAGCTGGATCTTTGGGGGGGGAGTTTATATATATATATATAGGGCCCAGGACACGCCCAAAAGCGGGCGATAGCTGTAGAGCCCCAGGCACCTGTGTGCCGTAGCAAGGCCGGGACGGCCAAAGGAAGTCCTTCGTGGCACAGAAGGCTTCGAGCAAAACGCTCTAGGATTCGCCGAGCCATTCATCGCGGTGTTCCTGTACCAACAGCTGCCAGGCTATTCTTGGCCTCGCATCATAGTGTTTGCCCCTCGACAGCCTCTCGTCTACTCTGCTCTATGGGGATCACATGGAGGCCTCTACAGAACGCGAAGAGAACATGAATCCTGGGGGTCCGCCTGGCCTGGCGGGACCCCAGCCAAGCTATGGCGCGGCATCGCCCAGCTCGGTGCATCACAGAGCCAGCCCCTACCCTCCAACTTCACCGAGTGGACAACACCTTGCAATGGACATCAACAACACGACAGAGGCTGCTGTCCCTGTGGAACATCCTACTGGACTGGGGGAAGGACATCCTACGCGGTCCATTCCGAAGACTCCAGTCAAGGAGGCCACGAAAACCCCTCCCGAACGACCACCTCTTGGCAGCACTGGTCTTTCACAGAAACTGGAGGAGAAGCGGAAGTTGGCAGCTGGCCCTGCTCTGGAGCCTTTCCGCAGGAATCCCGAGTCACTCTCCTCGCACCCGGGATTGATGGGTGCGCCACCGCAGGACACAGGTCAGCAACAGGCCATGAACTTTGTGGACGACGATCAAGACGAACTCAAGGGAGCTCCATCCCCTGGCTTGGGGCGTCTGGATGGATGACTCTATTTAGGCCAGCACCGGGGACACAAGTACACTTGCTAGTTCCCATTAGCAGGCTGGTGGGGCAGTTCGCTTGTGAGACTGTTTCGACGTCTCCTCGCGACTGCAACCCCTTCGGTCAATGCTGTTGGAACCGTGCATTTGTGCATGTTGCCTTTTGGTGCTTGCGGTCTCACTGTAGTGCTGCCCCAGTCTGTACAGCTCTGTGGCTCAGCGTGTTGAGCAAAGCCTTTGGTCGGTGTGAGCTTACACACCACAATCCTTTCAGGCCTTCTGCCGAGATGCCTTTGTCACACCCAATCCCTTGTGGCTTGGTTTCTGCGGCTTCTGGTTCAACCCAGTTGGTGTCTGTGCTCGACAACCTGTTTGTCCCTTTTGTGCCTGGCTCTGCATGCCTTGGTGCTCGACTTCCCAGGGTGTGTATCCTGCACCTTAGCCCCCCAGACTGGTGGCTTCGTGTCCTGCAGTGCCTTGGCGCTCGACTTCCCAAGGTACTATCCTTTTTCCCCTCAGCACTGGCGTTGAGCCCTGAGTGCTCCGCCCCTTTCTTTACCACACCCTCTGCCCCATGTTGCAAGGGTGTTGCGAGAGCGCATAACATGTGTATCGGTTGCTCTGGGACACAGGCCTCGCATTTCCCTACCTTGCCTTCGTCAGACATTCTGCCCTTTTTGGGCCCCTGCGCTGAGACCTTGAATGGCCCCTTTCACACACGGGCCCTTTTTCCACTTCCTGGTGCTCGAATTCCCAGGATTGATTCCTGCAATGCACTTGAGGGTTTTGGACTTCTGCTCTTCCCATCAATTGGGTGCAGATTGGATTCCGGTGCCCTAGCTTCCCCACTTGCGGACTCTGCATTGTCCATCTGGGGTTGTAGTGTGGGAGCGCACAACATGTGTATCGGTTGCTCTGGGACACAGGCCTCACACTACCCTCAGCTTTTTGGATTTCCGGGCTCTCCTGATACCAGCTTCCTTTTGCTGTGCCTTCTTGACCTTGGAGCTCTCTTGAGCCCCCTTGCTCACAGTACGGCCATGGCTGTGCTTCTGCTTCTTGTGGCGCTCCTTCCCAGACCGTTCAAGGCTGCGGCCTCCCCTCTGGGTAAGACATTTGGGGCTTACGCGCACAAAGCCACCTTGCCGGCCCTTACTGCCCTTGCCGTCTCATGTCCCCGTCGACCCGTGCTTGATTGGAGCCCTTGGCGCAACAGGAAAGGTAAGGTGCCCAGGTCGAGGCGTGCCAGAGGTGGTTTTCCTGCCAGGCTTTTCTCTGGGATTCTTTTCATGCTTTCTATCCCAGAGTCAGTGCACGCAGGCCCTGCCTTCAATGCCATGTGGATTATCGCTCCCACGGTTGGAGCAATGACAAGAGCACCCCAGCCCGGAGACCCGCCAGGTCTCCCGTATGCCCAGAGAAGGCCACACCTCATACCACCAGAAGAGCTCACCACGCATGTAGGTGTGTGCCCACACATCTCAGTTAGTGGCCTGCGTAGGGATGCTGATAATGAAGAGCCCCGACTGCTGCCACTCAACGCTGCCACTCTACCTGCGACTCCAGCTGAACCGTCAGTTCAGGGATCAGAGTGGCTGGGGTCCTATCTTCTTACGCCGCACTATAAGACATTGGTCTTTGCCATAAAACCCCAAGAACGCACCATGCGGTCAGCTTTGGATCTCATTCAGGAGAGGTCTCCTGATGTGCATGGTCAGTTCTTCGACACGGTAATTCCCTTGAGACCACAGAGGTTCGAGGGTATTGGCTCATTTCTTCGGTTTTCGAGCACAGTTCGTAATACCGGTGTCGGTGGCCAGGCGGTTGTGGTTCTCGATTTAACTCGGGTAGGGGGGCATTACTTTGCCGCGGTTTTGGCTAGGGAACTTGCCTTCCGCACACTCGTCGAGTACATAATTCCGCTGACCAACGGCGAGGAGCCTCCCATCGAGCTCTACATCGGTCAGCGGACACGGCCATGGCCGGAATGTGCACTTGTGACACTTTCTGATGGGGAGGTTATCACAGCCATTCGACAGCACACGCCGGCCCCAAAGCCCCAAAAGGCTGAAGACCTCTTTGCTGCAGGGACACGATGGGAATATCCTCAGGATGTCCCGAAGTTCTCCTATTGTGAGTCTCTTTGTGTGCTGCATAAGGACCAGCGCTACCTTCTGCCGGAACACCACCATTATGGTCAGAGCTGTGTTTCTTACATTGCGGAAAAACTTCGGTTGGATCCGTACAAAACAGTTATGTGTTCCTTCCCCATTGTCGACCTGGACGTGCAAGGTCAGCTGGCGCGCTCCTTGGTCACTGTCGCCGAAGTGCCTTCCCCCGCTACAACAGGGATCAGCCGAGATTCTGCATATGACATATGACTTGTTTGTCTTGCTGGACCCGCGCCCCTTTGGCCTGAAACCTCAGTTTCTCTTCCTGCACCATAACGTTGTGCATGTCCCTTCCATCACTGCACTCTTGGGCCTGTCGACTTCGCCGGCTTGCAAAGTTGGGGTTGCCGGTGGTGATCGTCGAGGGGATCAGGTCTATGTTGCAGGCAGTACAACTCTCTTGCTGTTCCCTGAGGAAAAGACTGCCGACGAACTCGCTGAGGAATTCTCTTCCTCGAGCTCTACCTCACGAATTGCGTCGCCTTGGGAAGACGAATCTGACCAGGAGGCCCAGCCAGACGATGAGCGGGGGGACTCTGCCGGTCATACCTTTGATGGCATTCAAGCCCTTGACCCCACTTTACCAGACGGGCATAGTTGGAACACTGGCCTTGAGGAGTCGGAGCTGCAAGCGCCTCCCCTTGACGAGCACACCTCCTCTGAAGCGGCACATCCTCCGCCACTTCCCCCTCCAGCTGAGGGCCCTGACACTGTGTCGCCGCCTCTGGATGAGGGTCATGCAGCCCGCCTTAAGGTCATTGCACTCGTGTATGTCCCTGATTATGTTCCTGAGATTGTTGAGCTTGAGACTGAAGCCCCAGCCTCTGTGTCTGCCTTTACGGAAGCTCTTCAAGATGCCAGGCTTGCATACCAATCTTCGAGCTTTCCTGACCTCTATCCAGTCTCATCCCAGCCAGTGCCAGCATTCGCAGTCTTTGTAGCTGCGCCTTCTTGGCAATGGGACACAGCTGTTGTCCTTTTTGACTGCCTGGCCTATGATGGGACCTTCTTTGCAAAGACTGTCTTTTGCAGACTCAACAGGGAGTCACTATTGCTGGCTGCTGGGGTCCCGCCAGAGGCTGCTGTTCATGTCTATGTCCGCGGGTCCCTTCACCACCTTGGCATTGACCAACGGGTTGTAGTCAGCAATGGCACCCTTGTGCAAATATCACGCCGTGGCATCATGCCAGGTGCAGGTCAGGACCTTGCCGATAGATTGGTGACGGTTGATTTGTGGGACCACAAGGCTGAACTTCCTGGACCCAGGGTTAACTATAATGGGTGCTTCTATATCCTTTCTGAGGGTCGCCCTTTCCCGTTTCCCGTTGCTTCGGGTCGACACTCCATGTTCAAGCAAGACCTCGCTCGTGAACTTGGTGCCACCGAGCATCGGCTTACCGTCAAAACGGCTGTGCCTCGCATAGTTGACGCTTATCCTTTCGGATATTGGGCCACTGCCGTTGTGGTTGCCACTGAGGCCCTTTCGAGGGTTCCCTTCCCCCCTGCCCGGGAACGAGAGTCATAGATTAGATGATGATCCGGGCCCCAAAGCCCTTACGCAGTCCTGGCCCACCCATGAGGTACTGCGTCCACGTCCCGTTGCGACTCCTTGCCGACTAGGTTTGGGGAACCAATGTCAGATCTCTGGTCTTGCCTCAGTTCACATGCCTGCACCCTGGGCTGAGACTCCTGATCTTGAACCATTGGTCACCTTGCTTGATGAAGCCTCCCGAAGCTGTGACCAGTGGGCTTTTCTGGCAGCAACGCTGCTGGACACCCTTTCCGAGCATTATGCTGACACATGCGGCCTTGGAGCCACAGCAGGGGTTCCCATCCAGCTCGCCCCTCTCTTGCCCAGTGCACGTGTCCATGATCTGACTTCGGTCAGTGTTGACTTTGGTCGCTTCTTTGCAACGGCGAGTCAACTGATACAGCCAGGCTCTTGGTGTCTTGATTGTGACATCCATCACTCAATTGTGCGAGCGGCTGCGGCTGATCAACTTTGTGCCGCACCTGCGCCCTGCCTTGCGAGTGTGACAGCGTTGCACATTTATACGGACGGTTCCTTTGCTACCAATATGTCGTCCTGGGCGTTTGTCGTTATCGCTCGTTCTGCAGCCGGCCCTTCTGTCTTTGGATGTGCTAGAGGACCTACGGTACTCCTTTACATCGGCGCCTGCTCGCACTCTCCTGTAGTTGGTGAGCAATGCGCCCTGTTTTGGGCCATTGCTTGGGCCCTTCAGGCCCCCTTCCATCTGGAATTGCAAATCTTCTCAGACTGTGAGGTTGCACTCCGGCAGGCCACAGGCAGGTATGGCACTCAAGCCCCACACAGTTTAGCTCATGCCTGTCGTTGCTTCTTTCAGGCATTAGATCGAGGCTGCTCGGCCGTCCTTCTGTGCTGACATTTCACATGTCCGGTCACACCGAGGCACCACGGCAAATGAGTTGGTCGATCGCATCGCCAAGGCTGCTTGTGTCCAGACAAAGGGACTGGATCCCCCCAACCCTTTTCAGGTTCTTGCGGCAAAGTGGAGCCTTTCCCAACACCTGCCTTGGTTGTGGCTTGCCATCGAGGCGTGGAAATGTCCGCATGCATGGCCCAACTTTTCTGGGACTGGATTCTCAGATGGTGACAGAGTAGCCGATGACTTTTGCCCGGACCCGCAGCAGAGCAGAAGTTACTTTGGCCTCGCCGATTCGGTCACACACACTCAGCATCATCTGTTGTGGGGCAAGCTGTGCATCTTCACACTCAATACCCAGACCCTTAATGGTACTGGCCCTGGAGGAGCAGATGCTACATCAGAGGATGAGAGCTTTCCTGGTAGGGTTGCCTTCTTACGGGCACAATTTGATTACTACGGAGCCACCGTAGTTTCCCTGCAGGAAGCCAGAGCTGCCAATGACGGGATGTTCACCTCCAGCACACACATCCGGCTATGCACAGGCCGGGACCGAAAAGGTAACTTTGGAGTTGAACTTTGGCTTTCCCGCAAACATCCTTTCGCCTGGATTGGAACCACGCCGATCCATTTTGATCCGGCTCATGTACTTGCCCTGTATTCCAGTCCGCGTGAGCTGTTTGTTAGATACAGCAGAGGTGGTCTGCGGTTGTTGCTCATTGCAGTGCATGGCCCTGTCTCTACTTGCCCACACCGGGACCAGTGGTGGAAGGATTTCAAAGCCCGAGTTGATCGCCTATGCCATGGCAGTAGTGTTGTCATCTTGGGTGATTTAAACATGCACTTCGCAGAACCTGTCCCTGGCCACGTGGGGCCCAAGGTTTTTCCGTCCAAGCATGAGGTCCCTGATGCCTTTTGCTGCCTTTTGAGACACTACGGTCTTTGGATTCCCTCGACTTTTCCGAGCTGCCACCCAGGAGACCACGTAACTTGGTTCCCCCCTACCGGCGGGCCGGGGTCTCGGCTTGATTGTATTGTCGTCCCGAGGGGCTGGCAAGTCGGGCAGGATTGTTCCCAAGTTTTCACAGCCCTGGACTGGGGACAGCCGCGTGTTGATCATGTCGCCCTGCGAACCTATGTCACCTTCAATGGTACTGGTACCCTGAAGCCCCCGGCTCGACGTCCGTCGTATGATCGGGAGGCAATGTTGACAGACCAGGGTAGGACCACCCTTTCTGACATTTTCAGGGCAGTGCCAGCACAACCATGGCACACGAATGTGCATCAACACTACGCGACGGTACAGGAACACCTTGTCGCCGCGCTTACTTTCGCCTTCCCGCCTGTCAAAAACCGCTGTCGTTCTTCACACTTTAGTGCGCACACGTGGCAGTTGCGTCAGAAAAGGGTTTGGCTGCGGCGCCAGGTCACGAGGCTCAATCAGCTCTGCCATCGGGCAGATGCAAAATGCGCGCTTTTCTGCCTCCGCCAGAATTTGCGTCTAGTGCCTGGTGTTTGGGCTTTTGCTTTGCGCCGCGGTAGAGCCGTGTTAGCCCTGGCTCACTATGTCAAGGATCTGCGTGAGTCCAAGAAAGGTCTTCGAAAGGCGATTCGGTGGGATATTGGTGCCCGCATTCGTGATGCGGCCGACACTGCTCAAAATGCCGGCACGGGCAGTGTTGTGTCTCGGCTGCAATGCCTTCTGCGCCCCTCCGCGCGGCGGGCTCGGCCTCCTCGCAGCCTACCCGGCCTCACCAAAGAGGATGGTACTCCGACGCTTGAACCGGAGGCGGTCGAAGCTGCCTGGGTCGCTCACTTTTCCAGCATTGAGGACGGCAGTACACGCTCTCCTGAGGACATCGTCGCTGCCTGTCTGCACACACAACGCTCCCGGAATCTCGAGGACTTGGAGCTCGAGACGGCGGACCTTCCGACGCGCTCTGAGCTCGAACTCGCGTTCAGGGAGACGATGCTCCACAGAGCATTTGGGACTGATGGTGTTCCGGCAGAGGCTCTTCGCGGAGCACCAGGTGCTGCGGCGGCTGCCATCTTCCCCATCATCCTAAAGTGTGCCCTGCGACTTGAAGAGCCGCTACACTTCAAAGGAGGGTCTCTGTACGCTGTCTGGAAAGGAAAGGCGTCTCCCGGCGCCTGTTCCTCATACCGAGGCATCCTGGTGTCCTCAACTGTCGGCAAGGCGTATCATCGCATCATCCGGGCGCGTAATGTCCCAGCCCTCCGCCAGGCAGCGACACCACTGCAAATTGGTGGACTACCCAAAAGTCCCGTGACGCTTGCTGCCCAAGTTGTGCGTCTACATCAGAGTTGCTGCAAGGGCCGGGGTACCTCGCAGGCTGTCCTTTTCTTGGATCTGAAGGAAGCCTTTTACCGCATCGTCCGTCCCCTTGTGACTGGCTTCAGTGGCACAGACGAGGACATTGCAACAATCGTTCGTTCTGTTGACCTGCCGCCTGGGGTCATGCATGACTTACGAGCACACCTTGAGGAAGTGTCTCTGCTCAAGCAGTCCGGCTCAACCGACTGGGCGGTCACGGCCACCACGGAGGCGCTACATCACACCTGGTTCAGGTTTGAACATGGCACCCTCACTACTGAGACCGGGATTGGGACTAGGTCTGGGGATAACCTGGCCGACCTTGCTTTCACAAGTGCCGGGTTGCCCTCGCCTGGGGCGCCTTTAATAAACGTCGTAAGCACATCTTCGCCTCCCCGACAGTCGCCCGAGCTGACAAAACTGTGCTGTTTGATTCTTTGGTCCTATCTGTCATGCTTTATGGGGCTGGTAGCTGGACCCTGGTTAGCGAGCGAGAACTGGCTTGTCTTGCTTCTGCTTATCACCACATGGTTGCTACTATGCTTAGGCCGCAGTACCGGGTAGAGGAAGCCAAACATCTTGGCTCTGCACGCATCCTGTCTCTCGCTGGGCTACCGTCGATTGGGGTCCTCATACACCTTGAGCGGTTGCGACATCTCCAGTCCTGCGTGGTTACTGGTGTGAAGGAGTTCTGGGCTCTTGCCCATGCGGAAGGGCACTGGCTTTCGCTTGTTCGCCAATCCCTTGCTTGGCTCTACGAGCTCCTGCCTCCCGATGGGAACGGAGGAACATGGTCCTCTCAATGGCCCCAATGGCTCTCGAACATGCAACACAGACCGGGGAAGTGGAAGCGCCCAGCACAAAGCTGTCTGCAGGGAAAAATGGGAAGCTGCCAGGTTGTGTCACAGGGGCCTCCTCTCCCGACAGCTCCAACTAGGCGGTGGCATTCTTGTGTGTGCTCCTCCACCTGCCTGGGACCGGGTACACTGTTGTGCCCCCTGTGGGAAAACGTTCTTGAGCAAGCAGCAGTGGTCGGTCCATGCTTTCAAATGTCATGGCAGAGTTACCCTTGGCAGAGGCGTTCTGGCCGGACACCAGTGTCAACATTGTCTCCGACATTTCGGCACGAACTTGAAGCTTTGCAAACACCTCGCATACAATGGGCCTTGTCGGAGGTACTTGTGTGCTGCGGGTTACCACTGCCCTACCGAGCCGGGACAAGGCAGTCGCCGAGCTGAAGACGCTGGCAAAATCCAAGCGCCAGTCCTCCAGGCCTCTGGGCCAAAGTTGGCCCCTAGGGAGGCCATCTGGCTCGATGCTGATGAGCGCCCGATTGCTGAAGTCCTAGACTGTCTCTCTCACGTTGGTGTTGATACTCCAGCTCTTTCTGATTCCATGCTTTGGCAGCAGCTCCGGGTGGCCTTCTCCTGTGTTTGTGCCTCTACTATCCGTTTACGGGTGACAGCCGAAGCGTTCCTGCATGGACTTGTCGACCGGGATGATCTGGTCCCCTCGATTAGACTGAGACTGGAGGAGGCGATGACCTGGGTCCAGAGTGCAGACATTGTCTCGTGGCTAGTTCCGGTGCCCGAGACCACTCAGCGACCACACAACACCTTCCAGGACTGTGAAACTGTCCTGAGTCTGCTGGAGGTTGCCCACATCCCTTTCCCTGCGCCTGCTCTAGACACGGCTGTAGCCGTCAGAATTGTTGTTGGGCCTGCTGCGTGGTGCAGGGGTCAGGAGAACGAACATCCCAACTCAGTCATCTTCGCCCTCGAAGAATGTACTCAGCTCATAGCACATGGCCACAGTCCCTCCTTCTTCGACGGCCCATATGATGATGTTGTGTTCATGCTCTGTGTGGATGGATGGAGTGGCTTCTTGAGTGTGCCTGCTCCTCACACACCGGCACGGATGTTTCATTCTTTGCTCGCCAGCGAAGTCCTCTGCGGAGATGTTGTGCGGTTCGCCCTTCGACTTTGGGGGCTTGGAACCCCGACTATGCTCCTTTACCCGGCACTTGCGAGTGGTGCTCTTGCCCCACTTGGGGAAATCGCCGCACTTGCTTGTGGTGCTATTGGGCCTAGGCGGTACCTCCGCAATGGCTGGCCTCACTGGTGAGCCACCTTTTTCGTTTCACATAATTAGATGCTCAAAGGGCCGCGACCGCTATGGATGCTACGCCCGAAAGACGTGAAGACGTGAATATATATATATACATACATACATACATGCAGGGTCTCAAAGACACCAAGAGCAGCCCCCCAGGCCGCCCCGTGCCATGCCCTGCCTCCGCGCTCCGCGCCCCGCCCGCCCTTAATAAAGAGGGTTCTAGACAATATTTACATTGTGTATGTTACTTCGCAGTATGACTAGTAGTAGTGTAAGAGGGTTAAAGGCAATACTTAGTATGGTTCTTGGTGCTAACTCGATTAGTATAACTTTAATTAAGGCCGTCATAGGCAATCGTTAGTATGATTATTTGTGCTCGGAGCGGCTCTAAGCAAACATTCTTATGATTAGTGGTACAAGGGTTTCAGGCTTGAGAATGGATGCAGAAGAACCGCAGACCCAGGGCCGCAGGAGAAGGAAGGATGTCAAAGGGGGAGGGGGGAAACATATATTGTGTATATAAACTGAACCAGGGCCGCCGGAGAAGGAAGGATGTCCCGTTCCAGAGAAGGGGAGGGGGGAAACATATGGCCGCAGGGGGAAGGAAGGATGGCCCGTTCCACGGAGAACGGGACATGGGAAACATTTGGCCGCAGGAGAAGGAAGGGTGGCCCGTTCCGCGAAAGGGAGGGGGGAAGCATATATCGTTATGCCTATATGATGGTATATAAACTGAACCAGGGCCGCAGGGGAAGGAAGGATGTCCCGTTCCACACAAGGG